AGGGACACAGAATTGTTACTCAGGGACAGACACAGAATTGTTACTGAGGGACACAGAATTGTTACTGAGGGCCACAGAACTGTTACTTAGGGCCACAGAAACGTTACTTAGGGCCACAGAAACGTTACTTAGGGCTACAGAAACGTTACTTAGGGCCACAGAATCGTTACTTAGGGCCACAGAATCGTTACTTAGGGCCACAGAAACGTTACTTAGGGCCACAGAATGTTACTTAGGGCCACAGAATTGTTACTTAGGGACAGACACAGAAATGTTACTGAGGGACACAGAATTGTTACTGAGGGCCACAGAACTGTTACTTAGGGCCACAGAAACGTTACTTAGGGCCACAGAATTGTTACTTAGGGACAGACACAGAATTGTTACTGAGGGACACAGAATTGTTACTGAGGGCCACAGAACTGTTACTTAGGGCCACAGAAACGTTACTTAGGGACACACAGAAATTGTTACTCAGGGACAGACACAGAATTGTTACTGAGGGACACAGAATTGTTACTGAGGGCCACAGAACTGTTACTTAGGGCCACAGAAACGTTACTTAGGGCCACAGAAACGTTACTTAGGGCTACAGAATTGTTACTTAGGGCCACAGAATTGTTACTTAGGGCCACAGAAACGTTACTTAGGGCCACAGAAACGTTACTTAGGGCCACAGAATTGTTACTTAGGGACAGACACAGAATTGTTACTGAGGGACACAGAAATTTGTTACTGAGGGCCACAGAACCGTTACTTAGGGCCACAGAAACATTACTTAGGGACACAGAATTGTTACTCAGGGACAGACACAGAATTGTTACTGAGGGACACAGAATTGTTACTGAGGGCCACAGAAACTGTTACTTAGGGCCACAGAAACGTTACTTAGGGACACACAGAATTGTTACTTACTCAGGGACAGACACAGAATTGTTACTGAGGGACACAGAATTGTTACTGAGGGCCACAGAACTGTTACTTAGGGCCACAGAAACGTTACTTAGGGACACAGAATTGTTACTCAGGGACAGACACAGAATTGTTACTGAGGGACACAGAATTGTTACTGAGGGCCACAGAATTGTTACTTAGGGCCACAGAATTGTTACTTAGGGCACAGAAACGTTACTTAGGGACACAGAAACGTTACTTAGGGCCACAGAATTGTTACTTAGGGACACAGAATTGTTACTTAGGGACACACAGAATTGTTTACTGAGGGACACAGAATTGTTACTGAGGGCCACAGAACCGTTACTTAGGGCCACAGAAACGTTACTTAGGGACACAGAATTGTTACTCAGGGACAGACACAGAATTGTTACTGAGGGACACAGAATTGTTACTGAGGGCCACAGAACTTGTTACTTAGGGACACAGAATTGTTACTTAGGGCCACAGAAAGTTACTTAGGGCTACAGAACAGAATTGTTACTGAGGGCCACAGAAATCGTTACTGTTAGGGGACACAGAATCGTTACTTAGGGCCACAGAATTGTTACTTAGGGACCACAGAATTGTTACTTAGGGACAGACACAGAATTGTTACTGAGGGACACAGAATTGTTACTGAGGGACACAGAATTGTTACTTAGGGCCACAGAAAGAATTGTTACTTAGGGACACAGAATTGTTACTCAGGGACAGACACAGAATTGTTACTCAGGGACACAGAATTGTTACTCAGGGACACAGAATTGTTACTGAGGGACACAGAATTGTTACTGAGGGACACAGAATTGTTACTCAGGGACACAGAAATTGTTACTCAGGGACACACAGAATTGTTACTGAGGGACACAGAATTGTTACTCAGGGACACAGAATTGTTACTCAGGGACAGACACAGAATTGTTACTCAGGGACAGACACAGAATTGTTACTGAGGGACACAGAATTGTTACTGAGGGACACAGAATTGTTACTCAGGGACAGACACAGAATTGTTACTCAGGACAGACACAGAATTGTTACTGAGGGACACAGAATTGTTACTGAGGGACACAGAATTGTTACTGAGGGACACAGAATTGTTACTCAGGGACACACAGAATTGTTACTCAGGGACACAGAATTGTTACTCTGAGGGACACAGAATTGTTACTGAGGGACACAGAATTGTTACTCAGGGACACACAGAATTGTTACTCAGGGACACAGAATTGTTACTGAGGGACACAGAATTGTTACTCAGGGACACAGAATTGTTACTCAGGGACACAGAATTGTTACTGAGGGACACAGAATTGTTACTGAGGGACACAGAAATTGTTACTGAGGGACACAGGGTTACTCAGGGACACAGAATTGTTACTGAGGGACACACAGAATTGTTACTGAGGGACACAGAAATTGTTACTCAGAGGGACACAGAATTTTGTTACTCAGGGACACAGAATTGTTACTCAGGGACAGACACAGAATTGTTACTGAGGGACACAGAATTGTTACTGAGGGACACACAGAATTGTTACTGAGGGCCACAGAACAGAATTACTGAGGGACACAGAATTGTTACTCAGGGACACAGAATTGTTACTCAGGGACAGACACAGAATTGTTACTGAGGGACACAGAATTGTTACTGAGGGACACAGAATTGTTACTCAGGGACACAGAATTGTTACTGAGGGACACAGAATTGTTACTGAGGGACACAGAATTGTTACTGAGGGACACAGAATTGTTACTCAGGGACAGACACAGAATTGTTACTCAGGGACAGACACAGAATTGTTACTGAGGGACAGACACAGAATTGTTACTCAGGGACACAGAATTGTTACTCAGGGACACAGAATTGTTACTCAGGGAGACACAGAATTGTTACTCAGGGACAGAATTGTTACACAGAATTGTTACTCAGGGACAGACACAGAATTGTTACTCAGGGACACACACAGAATTGTTACTGAGGGACACAGAATTGTTACTGAGGGACACAGAATTGTTACTCAGGACACAGAATTGTTACTGAGGGACACAGAATTGTTACTGAGGGACACAGAATGTTACTCAGGGACAGACACAGAATTGTTACTCAGGGACAGACACAGAATTGTTACTGAGGGACACAGAATTGTTACTGAGGGACACAGAATTGTTACTGAGGGACACAGAATTGTTACTCAGGGACAGACACAGAATTGTTACTCAGGGACAGACACAGAATTGTTACTGAGGGACACAGAATTGTTACTGAGGGACACAGAATTGTTACTGAGGGACACAGAATTGTTACTGAGGGACACAGAATTGTTACTCAGGGACACAGAATTGTTACTCAGGGACAGACACAGAATTGTTACTCAGGGACACAGAATCGTTTAATTAAAGAGTATGTCAGACAACATGCATAGGAGTGGCAGAGGAGGCAATGTTTTAGGAGCGAGCAGACGTGGCAGCAGAGGAAGGGGTCGAGGCAGCACTAGTCGCAGCCAGAGGCCAGTGCTCCCGGTGTCATCCAGCGGTCGTGTCTCCACCGACAACCCTGCCGTCATCGATTGGTTGGCTCGGTCGTCGTCTCTTCCTCTTCCCAGGTCACCTCTGACACCTACAGCCAACGGTCGGTGGGTACGTCAGACACAACCGTTAGTTGGCATGGCCCGGGAGCAAGCCCACTGAAATCACGTGTCCTCGACCTGCCCCTGTCCTTTGGTGTTCCCTCACCAAGCGAAGTATCGTATGCTGTGGGCTCAGCCCCACTGTACAGTGAGGAAGAGCTAACAGAGGGCGGTCAGGAACGGGGGGAGACATCCGCCTCTTCAGCAGCCAGGCGAAGAAGTAGTGGCGAGGAGAGTGGCTCGGTAGCCGGTCTAGAGACAGGTCTGTCTCCTGACCCACACGCAGCCGAGGGGGGGCTAGTAGTGAGGCGGAGACCCTAATTGATGATGATGAGGCTGATCGCACTTGGCAGCCTCGTCGTCATCAGGCTATTGCTTCCGCATCATCAGGAGAAGAGGGTGGCAGCTTGGCAGCGAGCAAAACAGTCGGTGGGTTGCCCAGGAGGCAGCAGGGGTCGCAGCAGTGTCAGTGGAGGCAAACGGCCACGGAGTACAGCACCAGCTCCACTGCAGCCTACCACCACGGCCAGTAGTGGTGCCGGTGTGCACGGAGGAAGCAGCAGTCAGCCAGTGAGGAGTATCGGGGGCAAAGTTTCCTACTCGGCGGTGTGGCAATTTTTTGTCAAGCCGCCCGAGGAAGTAAACGTAGCCGTATGTTGACTATGTGGCCAGAAAGTCAAGCGTGGCCAGGGGGCCCATGTTGGGACTACAGCGTTGCGGCAGCATATGCAGCGTCGCCATTTGGTGGTGGCCTGGGAAAACCGTGATAAAGATACGGCGGTTCTGCCTGCCCCAGCCCAGGGTTCCATTTTGTCATAGGGTGCTGGCAGATTACGGGCCTCCCCATAGCTGCTGCCAGGCCCCTAATCTGCCATGGGCCCCTGTACCGCCTCCTCATGCTGCTCCAGGTCCACAGTGTCTCATGCCATGTGCCACTTTCAGGTCTCCTCACACTGCTGGTGTGTTCCATTTTTTGTCATAGGGTGCTGGCAGATTACGGGCCTCCCATAGCTGCTGCCAGGCCCCTAATCTGCCATGGGCCCCCTCCTGTACCGCCTCCTCATGCTGCTGCCAGGTCCACAGTGTCTCATGCCATGTGCCACTTTCAGGTCTCCTCACACTGCTGGTGTGTTCCATTTTTTGTCATAGGGTGCTGGCAGATTACGGGCCTCCCATAGCTGCTGCCAGGCCCCTAATCTGCCATGGGCCCCTATACCGCCTCCTCATGCTGCTGCCAGGTCCAGAGTCTCTCATGGGTCCCTGTACGGCCTCCCATTGCTGCTGTCTCCATCGCCACACTCTGCCATGTGCCACTTTCAGGTCTCCTCACACTGCTGGTGTGTTCCATTTTTTGTCATAGGGTGCTGGCAGATTACGGGCCTCCCATAGCTGCTGCCAGGCCCCTAATCTGCCATGGGCCCCTATACCGCCTCCTCATGCTGCTGCCAGGTCCAGAGTCTCTCATGGGTCCCTGTACGGCCTCCCATTGCTGCTGTCTCCATCGCCACACTCTGCCATGTGCCACTTTCAGGTCTCCTCACACACTGCTGGTGTGTTCCATTTTTTGTCATAGGGTGCTGGCAGATTACGGGCCTCCCATAGCTGCTGCCAGGCCCCTAATCTGCCATGGGCCCCTGTACCGCCTCCTCATGCTGCTGCCAGGTCCACAGTGTCTCATGCCATGTGCCACTTTCAGGACTCCTCACACTGCTGGTGTGTTCCATTTTTTGTCATAGGGTGCTGGCAGATTACGGGCCTCCCATAGCTGCTGCCAGGCCCCTAATCTGCCATGGGCCCCTGTACCGCCTCCTCATGCTGCTGCCAGGTCCACAGTGTCTCATGCCATGTGCCACTTTCAGGTCTCCTCACACGCTGGTGTGTTCCATTTTTTGTCATAGGGTGCTGGCAGATTACGGGCCTCCCATTGCTGCTGCCAGGCCCCTAATCTGCCATGGGCCCCTGTACCGCCTCTTCATGCTGCTGCCAGGTCCAGAGTGTGTCATGGGTCCCTGTACGGCCTCCCATTGCTGCTGCCAGGAGGCAGCAGGGTCGCAGCAGTGTCAGTGGAGGCAAACGGCCACGGAGTAGAGCACCAGCTCCACTGCAGCCTACCACCACGGCCAGTAGTGGTGCCGGTGTGCACGGAGGAAGTAGCAGTCAGCCAGTGAGGAGTAGCGGGGGCAAAGTTTCCTACTCGGCGGTGTGGCAATTTTTTCGTCAAGCCGCCCGAGGAAGTAAACGTAGCCGTATGTCGACTATGTGGCCAGAAAGTCAAGCGTGGCCAGGGGGCCCATGTTGGGACTACAGCGTTGCGTCAGCATATGCAGCGTCGCCATTCGGTGGCCTGGGAAATATAAAGGCGGTTCTGCCTGCCCCAGCCCAGGGTTCCATTTTGTCATAGGGTGCTGGCAGATTACGGGCCTCCCATTGCTGCTGCCAGGCCTTAATCTGCCATGGGCCCCTGTACCGCCTCCTCATGCTGCTGCCAGGTCCACAGTGTCTCATGGGTCCCTGAACCGCCTCCCATTGCTGCTGTCTCCATCGCCACACTCTGCCATGTGCCACTTTCAGGTCTCCTCACACTGCTGGTGTGTTCCATTTTTTGTCATAGGGTGCTGGCAGATTACGGGCCTCCCATAGCTGCTGCCAGGCCCCTAATCTGCCATGGGCCACCAGTACCACCTCCTCATGCTGCTGCCAGGTCCACAGTGTCTCATGGGTCCCTGTACGGCCTCCCATTGCTGCTGTCTCCATCGCCACACTCTGCCATGTGCCACTTTCAGGTCTCCTCACACTGCTGGTGGGTTCCATTTCTTGTCATAGGGTGCTGGCAGATTACGGGCCTCCCATAGCTGCTGCCAGGCCCCTAATCTGCCATGGGCCCCTGTACCGCCTCCTCATGCTGCTGCCAGGTCCAGAGTCTCTCATGGTCCCTGTACGGCCTCCCATTGCTGCTGTCTCCATCGCCACACTCTGCCATGTGCCACTTTCAGGTCTCCTCACACACTGCTGGTGTGTTTCATTTTTTGTCATAGGGTGCTGGCAGATTACGGGCCTCCCATTGCTGCTGCCAGGCCCGTAATCTGCCATGGGCCCCCGTACCGACTCCTCATGCTGCTGCCAGGCCCGTAATCTGTCATGGGCCCCTGTTGTCGCTTGTTGGCATATTCCGCTCGTTCAGATGCTCCTTCTCCTGCTACTCCTCTTCAGGGATTCCGTCAGCAGTCTTTCTTGGAATCCGTTTCCAAGAGACAACAGTTTGCGAGCACGCACCCGACGGTGCAGAAGCTGAACGTCCTCCTGTCCAAGTTGCTGCTGCCAGGCTCGTAATCTGTCATGCGCCCCTGTACCGCCTCCTCATGCTGCTGCCAGGTCCAGAGTGTGTCATGGGCCCCCGTACCGACTCCTCATGCTGCTGCCAGGCCCGTAATCTGTCATGGGCCCCTGTACCGCCTCCTCATGCTGCTGCCAGGTCCAGAGTGTGTCATGGGTCCCTGTACGGCCTCCCATTGCTGCTGCCAGGCCCGTAATCTGCTATGGGCCCCCGTACCAACTCCTCATGCTGCTGCCAGGCCCGTAATCTGTCATGGGCCCCTGTACCGCCTCCTCATGCTGCTGCCAGGTCCAGAGTGTGTCATGGGTCCCTGTACGGCCTCCCATTGCTGCTGTCTCCATCGCCACACTCTGCCATGTGCCACTTTCAGGTCTCCTCACACTGCTGGTGGTTTCCATTTTTGTCATAGGGTGCTGTATGGCCTCCCATTGCTGCTGCCTCCACCGCCTCACTGTGGCTCCACACTCTGGTTTTGGCCCCGTGACTGCCCAAATGAGTGAAGTGTGCGGTGATTCTAAGATCGACGGCACTCATCTGCATGTCATACTGACTGTCAGTATTATTTCTCTTCCCCAGCAGACTCCAAGGGCATTTAAATTAAAGGTACAGTGTTCTGCACTAATATAAAGGCTCTCTGAAGCCTAGAAACACCCTTTTATAAGTTAAATTCGTAGCGAATATATTCGACTCGAATCAAAATTTTTTCACGAATTCGCCGAATCGGTCGAATCGAATTTTTGAATAATTCGCTCATCTCTATTCATTATATAGACTGTCACTGACTTATGTTCTTAAACTTGGGAACATTTCTCACATGTACTTCATTTAATTTGTTAGCGCTGCACATATATATATTTTTATACATATATGAGTACATGGGAGGGAATGGGTGGAGAAACTCAGCTATCATTGTTCTTGTGTAAATACAACAATTTCACTTTCAAGCCCCATTCACACCTAGCTTAGTGTGAGTGTCTGTTTTTTGGTATGTTTTTCCCAGGACATGCAAAGGTCAGCCCATAGAGTTCAATGGGATGCCCAACACATAGCAAAGTAGCTCATTGGACATTTTCATGTGTTGCAATATATACATATTTAATGCATGTTTTGCTGTATTTGTCGTGTTTTTTTTTTTTAAATGCATGTTTCTTCTGTGTTTTGAGTGCCATTAACAATTAATGCCACAAAAGCGCATCTAGTTAATTTTAGGTGTAAAAAAGGTGATCATACACTATACAACTTGAACAATCTCTGTATGGTCTCCTTTAGATTTACCAAAACTATATAATAGGAGGACACATCTATCTATCCAATAACTCTGTATCCAAACAGGCAGGCCCTAGTACTATTTAGTTGATGGTAGAGATTATGCAGTCATATTGTATAGTATATGGTGAGCTTTACAGACTTACAGGGATACACGTCTCCTGTTTTCAACACTACAGCGCTGCTCCATATAGGCTGTTATGTGATAGCCAAATGAACATTCTATGCAAGAAGAAAATAACATACAAAATGATCGATCGCAGAGGAAGTCTCTGGCTATGTATTCAAGGAGAATGCTGCTCATTGACAATGACTGCATGTAACCACAGAGGTGGATGGGAGCAATCTCCTGGAGGACTGCTGGTGCAGAGCGTGTTTTAATGAGGTCAGTTGGTGAAGTGCTTCATCACACTTCTAACAGTTTTCTTTCCTAAGGATGGGTAGCAGGGAGCCATGGAGGAGTTTTCTATAGAGGAGACTGAAGGCTGAGGTACGTCTGCCCTAGAATATAGAGAAAGCTTTTCCTTTTCATTAATAGTATATTGGTACACAGGGAAGCTGGAATTTAGAAAAAAAAGCACACCAGCAAACAAATTATACAAGCTTTATATAAGAAAAGATTAATACCAGTACATACATTCAATGTGCAAACAGATATTATAAGCAAAGGGTCCGATAGGAGTTCTGGTGGAACTGTGCAAATAAACTCAGATATACATAGTTATTTACTATATAGAAGTACCTTCAGTTAAATGTTGCAACAAAATCCCTTTGCAGGGGCCCCTGAGGATGATGCAATGTCTGTCATTGTGTCGGAGATACTTAAAGACAAGATCTGCAGTGATGAGGAGATCCTACTGTAATTACCCCATCACATAGAATGCAGTCATTGTTGTCTGGCAATAATGATCTCTTCGAGTCTGGTATTAGTAGCATGGACAGGGCAGCTGGCTTTTCTCTCTCCACTTTCTCCTTCCAGGATTTCCACACCCCCAGAGTCAGGAAATGAAACACATAATTATACATTACAGTGTGATACTAGCAGCTAACAATAGAAGTCAGTGGATCCCTACAGTAGCATGACCATTCAATAGATGCCGTTTACTATACTGGCTTGTGTTGAACAGACAGCAGTACACATGAACTGAAAGTCAGCTGGTTCAGTCGGTCTGTGTATACCTTGCTTAAAGGATAGGTTCACCTTTTGTAACATATTCACCATATTCTCCATATTCAGGGTGTAACATGTAAAATGTTGTGAACGGACCAGCCCCCGCTCCTCCCTGCTCCCCGTAGTGACAATTAGCAGGGGATCTTCTCCCTGCTAGCTGTCAAAATTTTTAAAAAACGTGGCCATGCGGGGCCTTTTCGGCTGTCGGCTTGCAATTCTCAATGAACTACCACAGTGCTGTGCGGTACTGTTGTAGTTCATTGACTCTTTTTGTCAGTGTACCTGCTTGCCCATACATCCTGTATGGGCAAGCTGATAAACTGGCAGGTCTGCTGATCGCTGGTGCAATGCTTTAGAGGCTCCAGAAACAAAAAATAATAAATGCACTTTTTGTTTACCTGCAAAAAAAATGTGCATTTATTATTTTTTGTAAAAAAGTGAACTTATCCTTTAATATCTGTAGACTCACAGTTTTGTTTTTTTTTACTGCAGCCTAATTTATCATAATGTCTAAAGGTAAAATTGCCCAAATGGCAACCAGTTACAAACAAAATCTTTTTTGGGAATTGCCTCAGAGGAAAAAATGCTAGCAGAGGAAAGAACAAATCTTTTTTTTATTATTATATCTTTATTTACATTTTCCAATATAAAAATATAACAGCCCAAAATACATCACATTCACAAGTACAAACGTCTCTTACAACATCTTATCCCCCACCTCTCCCATCCTCCCTCTATCCCTTCCCCCAAAATACCCGTCCAGATCTAGTTAACTAAATTCTTACTCTTCTTATACATTATCTATCTATATCTATGTCCCCATCCCTCTCACAGGCCTCTCTCACTTTCAGGTTCTCCATCAGGCTCTCTCCAGACTTTTCCCCCCTAAGCTCCAGACCAGTTCCGAGTATCTTTTAGATGTTTTAAAATCTAACCAACTTCTCCACATTTTCCTAAATTCTATTGTCCTCCTCCAAATGACACAACTCCTCCATCCTGAAAATATTATCCACTCTATTTAACCAATCATTTATTCTTGGTGGCTCCGGGGCTTGCCAAAACTTGGGGATTAGGCCCTTAGCCACACTGATTAAATTATATAATACCATGTTTTTATACTGTTTGCCTACAGGTTTGGAGTAAAATAAACACATCCACGGGTACTTTTGTATAGTGACCCCACTGATTTCCTGCATACAGTGAATTATTTCCTTCCAAAAATCCTGTATTTTTGGGCAATTCCACCGTATATATGCCATTGTACCCTTTTTCCCACAACCTGTCCAACATAACATCCACTTGCTGTTTATGTGCTATACTCGGTGTAATATACCATCTCGTCAAACATTCGCAATTCATTTCTACTGTACTCATATTTGTCACCCCATGTGTTAATTTAAATATTTTATTCCTTTTTTGTTCATTCAAAAAAGGAATAAAATGTTCCAAACTCCTTTTCCCATTTTTACAAGAACCCAGGAGGATCAACTCTATTCATATCTATCAGGACCTTATATATCCTGGAGGTGGCGTGTTTCGGAACTATATTGACATTCAATAGCTTTTCAAATGGATACATATCCTCCGGGATAGTGAAGGAGCGATGAAACAAAGTGTCCCAATTGTCCATACCGCCACTCATCTGATGTAAAAAATGTATATTGTTTTCCCTTTAAGGTCTCATGTACACTGCAGCTGATAAACTCACGTTTAGGAGCTGTTCAGCATTTTTTTCAGCAGCCTCTGAACTCACCCTAATGTTTTCCTATATGTCCATGTACACATCTTCGTTTACAGTCGTTTACAGGCATTTGAGTTTACAGATGTTTTTTTTAA